TTGTGTGTTGAGTGTTGGGCAGAATTTAAATGAGTGGTGAAAGGAAGATACTCCCAGTGGAAGTAGATGAGGATGGAGGTGGGGATCAACGAAGTGTTAGGAGAAAAGCAGATTGGTCTATCTGACAAAAGCAGAGATTGTTTGGAGGGAAACACGAGAATGTTTGAGTTAAGTGAGGCTTGAATGCCCCAAAGGAAGTTTAGGGCATTACATCTGCCTGGAGAAGCTGCTCTAAATTGTTGAGCAGGTGGCCCCTGAGGCATGGCACCGGGGAGCATTAGCGCCCACAGTGGGCTGGAAACTCAGTGCTGCTGCCATCCTGTGGGCGTGCCTTGACTAAACCAAGGCAATATTAGGAATTAAGGGAAGAGGACAACACACTCTGGAATCTGCAGCAGCAGCAGCTGGCAGTGTTTGATGACTGTATGTGGTTAAGGCATCCTATAGGGACCACACTGTTCTGGGCTGATAGGTGAAGTCACTTGGGGATGGGAATCCCTGTTTTCCCCAGGGAAATTCTGAATCTAAAGGTCCTAGTAGTTTTTGTCTTTCAGCCATTTATAGGGCTGATACTATTGACTAGAGTAGAGGCCAACCCAGAGCCACCCACATGTTTCCTTCTCAACTCCCTTATTTCCATCAGCACCTAAACAAGAAGTGAGCAAAGTCTGTGGCTGTGTCAGCAGTTAGTCTGAGTGAGTGTATTAGTGGCCAACCAGTCTCTGTGCTTAATCTTTAATGTGTAAGGTTAGAGGTCATCCTCCATCTAATATTAGGAATGAATGTGTCTGAAAAATAATTTTACTCAAGGGCAACATCATCCAGTCCTTTCAGAGAAAAATCAGAAACAAAAATTTAAAAAATCATAAATCATTTTGCTCTTAGATCATCAGAACCTTATCTAAATAAAGATTCTAAGTTGCTTATGTCCTATGGCATAAGTGACTTGATATAAAACCATTATTGCTATTACTGTAGTTATGTTAATAAGGTACTTGGTGGGGAATGTTTTTGAGTTGACTACTCTACCTCGAGTGGCCAGAGGCCCATCCTCTATTTCTAGGTGGAGGGAAGGGTACAGAGTTTCATTCCTGGCACCTTGGTGTAAGAGCCGCCTCCCTGTGTAATAAGCCTGTAGTGTATCTGATAAAGAAGATGTCTAAAATGTATTTTCATTTCCAAGTTCAGGGAGTTCACCATGGTATGGAGAATCAGTAGAAGACTCAGTGTTGTCTACAAGAATGTGGAAGCCATTCCAGAGGAATAATTCAGACACTATGAAAAGGCGAGGAAAGACAGACAGTGTCAAGCTAAGGAGTAGCTGAGGACTTGGATGACACCCTGGGTAGGATAGTATGATATACAAAAGGCTTCATTGCAGAAGGGAATTGTGAGCAGTGTGAGAGAATCATAAACTTTACCCCAGAAGAGTGAGAAGAAGTAGAATTCCAGGATTTGAAAGAAACCGCTCTGAGGAGAAAAATAAGAGACAAATAACAGGGCCGATGAATGGAGGTGCTAGTTGCCTTAGGCTAAAGCTGTAAAAAGGTTTGTCTAAAGGAGTCTTTTATTGAACATAGAAGGTCTGCTTCTCAGATTTGTGTTGACTCTTTTTCTTGATTTAGAACTGAATTAAGTGGATGATGAAGAATACCAGCTTCATGAACTCACATTTGCAGGTAGGTAGAGTACATGGACATCATTTTGCCCGTCCTAATCAAATCCTATAACAATAATCATTGTCATTCTGTTTTGAGCATGTATTCTGTGTCAGGATTATTGCACTTTGTCTTCACCATATCCCTAGTAGGTATAATAAATAGTACTATTTTCCCCATACCTGGATAAAGAAACTAAGATGTAAAACTTTCTCAGCTGTATACTGTATAGTGTAATACTATTATTGAGATCATTCATGTAAACTGCTTATCCTCTTATTACTATTGCCCCATAGACCATAATTTCTAACTGCCAAAGCAAATGCCAACCTAGTCTCTCTGTCTCTACAGCCCATCTGTCTCTGGCCTGGATTATGACAACAGCATTCTAAGAGCTCACTTTGCCACCTCCCCCCGCCCCCCGCCTTTTGCCCATTCTGCTAGATTCTCAACTGGACAGTTAGGAAAGTCAGATCCTGATACTCTATTCTGTCAGAGATTTTCATTGGTCTAGGAATCCTTACAGAATCTCCTCACCAACTAGATGCCAGAGTCATCTCCTGGGACAGGATAGTGAGATGCTAGGAAATTTTTTTGGCAAGTGGAATAGGAAAGTACTTGAACACAATGGCCATGCAATTTACAGCCAGTTGCAGGTGGTCACTGGGGGAAAGATCCCAAGTGCCTGGCAAGGGGCAAAACTGGCAAAAGAAGGACCTTACCACCCGGGTAACCTCACGTCCCCTGACCTTTCCTCCCTGGAGGTAACACCTGGGTCTCAGCTGTGTTTCAGCTCCAGGCCCAGAAAAGCAGCAAAAGCAGGTGGGCGATGCCAGGACCAAATGCAATGACTAAAGACCCCCTGCCCTGCCACAGACTGATCAGTAAAGGCCATGACCCTAAAAGAGTGCACCTGGGAAACTGATGAATATTCTATTGAAACCCTTCACTGGGGCCTCCCCTTAGGTTCCCCTTAGACTTCTAGAAAGAGATAAAAGCCTCAAGACAAAGAACCCAGTGCATGTGCTCTCCCTCCGGGGAGCAGGCCCATTGCCACTCTTTCCCTTCTTCTCCCCACAATTCTCTCTTTACAAACACTCATCTCTTAAAGTCCAAGGCAACGGGCAGCTGGCAGCTGGTCACAGGCCGATGCCCTGAACCCGTCCCCAACACCCCCTTTTCTCTGACTTCCCAGTGAGATAAGGAGCCCACCCTAGGCTCTCCTGTTGCTTCCTCCACACTCAGCCCTTTCATGTGTCACTCTCCCCAGCTTTCATAAACGGATCGTCATAGTCACCTGAACCTGTGCTGTGAAATCTTTCCTACTCGAAAGACTAGAAAAGAGCCCACGCACTACTGCTGGCCCTGGGCAGACCCACTCAGGGCCAGGCCCCTGTCCCGTCACACTCCAACCACTCTACTGCAGAGCTCTCCCTGCAGTCCCTTGAATGGAAGGGCACACACACATTGCAACATCTCAGGGCCTTTGCGCTGGCCTGCAACTTCATCCGTCAGCAATGCTTTCTCCCTAATTGCTTGTTCTTTTCTCCCACTTCCTTTAGGTCCTTTTGCTTAAATGTCTCAGAGAGACCTTAGACCACCAAATTTTAATTTGTGCTTCGCACTTGCTTAGTACTTTTCATTGCAACTATATCTGAAATGCTAAATATTTTATGTAAGTATGAAAATATCTGTTGTTGATCCTCTATCCTGGAATGGGTGTTAAGCTAAGGCAGATACCTTCCCTCTGTACCCAGCACATATTAGATATTGAACGTTGAATGAATGAACTCTTTTTATCTGTCTTGACCTCTAATTACAGTTCCATGAAACTAGAATCTTGTCCCAGTACTCGGGGAGAGGATATTGCTTTCAATTTTTTTTCTGAAATCTCCTACATATTAGACAAACTAGAATTAACCAGCTTTTGGCAAAAATAACTGAGCGTTATAAACTCTGTTCATGCTGAGAAACGGCTCACCCTTTCCTTCATCCTTTTGGCGTCCATTGGACCCTGGCAGAGAAATGCACAACAGAAGAGCATAATTAGGAAAAGCCAACCCACACCAAAGTAACCCTGCCAACGTGGAAAACTAGGTCATTTCCCCTAATACAAGGCAAAGATCCCTATTTCTAGCCAGGCTGTGTTCCACTTGTGTAAAAACATTGTAATTAATTGAATTAATTCTGAATATTGTGGGATGATGTATGCTTTTTAGTCTTTCAGAAATCTGCCTCGCTTTTTTGCAGATGGTGCATCTTGCGCCCATCTGCAGAGCTCCTGAGCCTATATGATGCCCATATGATGACATGTTTGAGAACTGCCCTTACTTAGCCCTCCAGGAGACATATATGCATGGTCACCTACCCTGTTTGAGCCAAACATAACCCTTGCCTTCCAGCAAATTTTGAGGCTTCCCCTGAGGATGCAGATTATCTTCCAACTTTGGTTAAAGCTACAGAATACCTAATAAGGCTTCATCTTCTACCTCATCAGTGCTGTGAATGAACTGAACATTAACATTCACTAGGTAACCTTGGAAAAAACCTTTTGAATGTGCAGCAATCACAATCCATCATACTCTCCAGTGACCCAGGTTACATCAAGGTGTGAATTACAGTTGCCATTACTGAAACATTTTACAAGGCCCAGGAATCACGACCTTCCCTGGACTCTCTTGGTAAGAGAAAGAGGATACACAGCAAACAGCTCTGGCTGTAAGAACCACAAAGGAGGTATTTCATTTTCTTTCTCATCTCCAACCACAAAAAGAACCAGATTCATCTTCTCACCTTCTGCATTGTTATTTGCAGGTTGCAAACATTTATTCAAATATTTTATACATACCAAGAATTGTTGCAATATAAATCTGGCACAAGATTCAAAACACTGAGATGATTTTGAAGAGCAAGTCTAAAATCATGTACTTTGGAAGCAAAGGAACAAAAGTAACATACAAAATTTAAATGAAAGTTAAATATTTTTCACTTACTCCACTTCTACCTAAGTTACTACCCCTCACCCCTCTTTTAAAAAAGTTCACTCACTAGTTAGCTTGGGAAATCTCTGTGTGACATAAAACTGAGATTGATAAAGAATGAGTACTTGGAGTCTTAGCTGGGCCCCTGAGAAGCGGACTGCCTTTGAAACTTTTACCTCTCAAGTTTGTGTTACTGAAAGTAACGGAGGGTTCTGCAGCTACTCTCCAAAAGGCAACCTAAATTCCTACCAAAGTATTGACTTTGTTTAATGTTTTACTCCTGCGAAGAGTGAAGAGGATATTATTTCACCCAAAGAGTTTTATAAACTAACATTAGACTAGTTAGCAAAAAGATAAATTTATGCATCCACCGATAGACCTTGAACAATCTAATGTTGTTCTTTTGGTTTGCACTAGGATGTGAAAGAAAAAAATTCCTGTGCTTTCTGTCTGTCTTTGTGGCAGCCCAGATTGAATAGGGGACTACATCTGTAAAAAAAAAAAGATAAATTTATATTTTGAATGAGCAGGCTTTATAGAGCCCTATTAATAACAACCTTTCTGCATATCTGCATATAAGACTGTCTCTAGTGACAACAGACTTGTCAATACTTAAGGTAGATATATTATAAATTACCACTTATGAAATAGATAGTGGGGAAGAAAAAAAGGCAAAAAGGGCATCTCATGAGTCACTCTACAAACCTAAGGTAACACAATTATGAACCTTCACAAAAACTTGTTCTAATTGTGGTCTAGTCATCTTGCTAGGGAATAGTTGGGGCATTATTATTTATTCTCCTTCATAATCAATCAACTTAGCTCATTTGTGTACTTTGAAAATTGCTTGCTGATAGTTTCTTTTTTTTCCTCCAAAACATTACACTGTAAAAAGCTTTAATATCCATGATTTTCTGTGTCAAGGTGGTACTCCATGCATATTCAAGGTACTTTCAGATTTAATGGTTACTCTCCACATCAAAGTCACATTAGGAAGCTGATCTGAGAGCTGCACCAGCCAGGAGTCAGCTATTTTCACTGACTTTCTCAGTAACATTCAATCTTCCTTGACCTGCTCTCTCCCTTTCATTTGCATTCTAGCCTGGCCTAAGGAGAGTGATTGCCTGTCCTGATTGCCTCTTGCATGGTGTTGATTTAGTGGTCAGCTATACTGTATAAATTCATCTGCTCCTTGGGCCCATAATGACTTGACCTGTACAGTGTACACAACTAAATATCTATCTCAGAACCTTGACCCTAGGGCATTAAGAGCTGCAAAATAAAATCCTTGCTTCAGCAATATTCTCTAACCTGTGGTCAGAAGAAGAGTTTTAGCCATGGCTAGTTATAAATAAAAGAGGGTTCAATTTTTTCTATAAGGTGTGATCTTGGGTGATTGTGTGTGTGTGTGTAGGTAAGATAGGGGATTAAATTAAATGTAATGAATACTCATAATGTGATAGATACTGGGGAAATCATTTTACATATATTAATTTATTTCTGAAAACACCTGATGAGAAAACAGGCTCAGAAGTGTTAAGGAACATTCCCAAGATCACATAGCTAGGAATTAGTAGAGAGGATACAACTTAAATTGGTCTGATGTCAAATTCTGTGTTATTTTCCCACTTGACCTTAACCATCCTCCTGTTTTTCCATGACATTGACTTTGTCTCCTGTTCTGCTGACCTCTGTTCCTATCAATCTGATGGGATAAGCTTCATTATGCTGTGGTTACAAATAGCCCTTCAATCTCGGTGACAAAGAGGTTTCTTTCTCCCCCAATCTAATGTCTACTCTCTGTCAGCTGGAGGTTATGCTGTGTTTCATCCTTAGTTAAGGAACAGTCTGACAAAACTGCCACTGTCTGGATTGGTGTGGTCGCCATAGCAGATGGAAAAATTGCTGTGCCAAATTGTGCACTTGTGATTATAGCTCTGCCCAGAATTAATTAAAGTTTCTTTTGCTCACATTTCATGACCATGCCTAAGGACCTGGCAAGTGTAATCTTACCATGCACATGGACACAGAATTGGGAATATTTGGAAAATAGCACTAGTGATGACTACACCTCTTTAGGGGAATGAGAATCCCACTGAGTTTCTGACTAGTTTACAATGTCAGAGGTGCATTCACCAGCTACTGGCTGCAACCTCTTGGTTTACTTTCACAAATATTTAGCTTTGAAAGACTCATCAGAATAGTTGAGTGATATCTGGATGTTCAAAACCTATGACTATACTTTGCATTATTTGTGCATGCATTAAGAGATGTTGGGTGAGTGGAAGTGTTTGCCAGAACTAAACAATGGGTTCTGGCAAGAGAGAGAATGCTAGAACCAGTCAGACCACCACTGATCTGGTATAATTACTGCCTAGTTTGTGAGGCTTGAGCAAGCTCAAAATCGGACATTTGCTGACCACCATGCTGCTATTCTATAGTCAAAATTTTGATTCTTAAGGATTCTTTTGGTTAATCACAGATCACTTTGAAAATGACCAGCTAACTTCTTTGTTAATTCCACATAACATAATCCCTAATAAATAGAAGGCAGAAATAGTCATCCTATAACAGCCTGGAAAAATAATGGAAAGAACCACAGGCCCATAATCCACATTTCCATTTCCCATTCCTTCCTCTGATATTGTTACCTTTTCTTCTCTCAAAAAGAAAACTTCTGCTAGGACTTCATTCTGCTAAAGCATAACCTTACCCAATTAGACTTATCCTTAAATTAAGGATAATTTTAACAACATATGTTTTTTTGCTTGTCTAAATCTTTAACATAAACATGTATCATCAAAATCATCCAATTAAATGAATTACAATTAGAAGGATTTCTTAAAGAACCAGTGTACTCATTCTGCTATAGATCTCAATATAGAATCAACAAAGGTTCTTATTATTCTATTTTTTCACCACAATCTTCCCAAAGAAGGCATGATATTCAGAAATGTTGTTCCCTTTCTGTTCACTGACAAAGCAAAAAGGGCCTGCAGTTTCTTCATGTCTGTGCATATTAATGTTTACTGGCCTGCCATGTATCAATGCCTTTTGCTGAGATTGATAACACAAATTCTGATGGCCACATGTTTTATGACTTTATATGTCATCTTATAATCTTCACAGTCTGACTGCTATTTATGTACTCATTGTATTTTCTTTTCTTTTTCTTATGGGGAGTAGGTGGGGATTATTGTTATGTGACTTGTGAGGCTGGCTACTGGTCCTCAGTGAAGAAAACATGCTTGCTTTGGTGCTCAATAGCTGGTCAGGATCAGAGATAGATCTTGACTTAGATTTTGCTGTATTTTTTTATCTACATCCCCATACAGTTCCTTTTGACTTTTTATATACTCTTTTAAAAAAATTTACTCTTAATTAGTAATATAACTGAAGAAGGGTTAAAGAAAACTGCGTTGTGAGTAATTTCCACCTACTAGTCACTTTCTTCACAGTGGAGAGTTTATTGTTTTTCTTTCATCTGCAGAATGAACTATCATGGTCATGAAAAAGTCCATGGTTTTCTGTCTGGTTCTCAAGCCTCCTGACACCTTAATCTCATTTCACATTCTTGGTTTTCACCACTGCTGTTCCTCTTAATAAGAGAGTGGATTATTATCAGAATGTGCTCCCTGATCTGCTGCCTCAGAGTATCTTGTATTTTTCCCTCATCCAAAAGCATTCTGCCTCCAGATTACTATCTGTTGAAATTCTCCTCCTTTAAAATGCACCTCTTAACCTATCTCTTCTGTGAATTGGTTACCAGTTACAATCATATAAGACCTTTTTCTCTTAAGAATAGTTTACACCAAAGTTAGGATAGAACCTTTTGTTCTGAGGGTAAAGAAAGCTTTCCACGCTGGCCTGAGTCATAATAACAACTTAATAACATTTGTTCACCTATAACAGTGTTTCTCAAATGTCTTAGTTTTGGGATTCTTGACACTTTTTAAAATTACTGAGGGGCCCCCAAATTGTATCTGTTGATGTTGGACATATTATAAATTAATCTGGGAAAAAATTTAAATCACAAAAGTACTCAAGCATGAAGATGTCCTCACATGCCATGTAGACACTGGAAAGTTTAATTATGTGCTTGGGGGGAAAAGAAAGTATAACAGGCAAATAATTTCTTAGCATTAATATAAAAATATTTTGATTTTACAGACCTCTTGAAAAGGTTTAGGGAATCCTCAGGTGTCCTAGTACCACACTTAGGAACCACTAAATTGATACTGTTGAAAGAATCTTCAACTAAGAGTCATGAGTTCTGGGTTCAGGTCCTCTCTCTGGCACAAACATATTATTTAGCCTTCTCTGGGCTTCCAGCTTCTTCTGAAAGAGAGAGAATGGGGACTAAGTGATAGTGAATAGTCTTCTAGCTCTAAGCATCTTTGATAAACCTGTCATCACAAATATCATGATGCTCTCAGGTGAGTTCCCATGAAGACATTCTGCTTTCATTTAGCATTAGCCATCTTGTTGTCCATTAACCTGGTTGGCTATAAATGCCATTGCCCTGCCTGGAACATCATGGGGTATGTTTATGGCATATAAGTATGGGGATGCCAGAAAGACATAAAGAATCTCGGAGATCATTTTGAAATAAGGATTCTCTCACCAGAGGTGTCTTACTAGAGCCCTATGCTAAGTTCTAATGAGATTAGGTTTTGTGACATATGAAGCTACCTATGGAAGACTAAAACTTGAGAAAGATAAAACGCACAAAAGTTCTTTAGAATTAAGTTTCAGGTCCTTCAATAGCCCCAAAGATGTCATAACACACCTGTACTAGCAACTTCATACTTGGCCTTCTTGTGCAAACCCCTGCCTCATACCACACCAATTTTCCACAGTTACCCTTTTCATCAGCCCATTGCCTCTGTATCAACAGTTATCTGCCTTGTGTTCCATTCTTTCAGGCCATACTCAAAAGCTGAAAGTTAACTAACTCAGAGAAATAAATTATCTAATATTATTGGAATTTAATAACAGCATATTATACCTCACAGATTTACGGTAACTGTGTCCTTTAGGAGATACCCTGTAGGGACTCATGTGAATCTTGCTGCACTGCAAGTTCTCTAGGGAAGATGCTTTGGGTCAGGGGGCTTTCAGCAATATGAGTCGCACTACCTAGGATTCCCTGAGTGATGCGCTGGAAAGTATATAGATAACTTGTGTTCAGTTCTTAACTCTGTCACTAAATAGCTGAATGACCTTGAGCCTGTGGTTTAACCTCTCTGAGTTTCTGTTTACTTATCTGTAAAATAAAATTGTTTGTAATTATAAATGTAGAATATTTAGACTTAACTTTGCAACTGCTTTGCTTTCATAAAATTAATGTTCTTTGATTCTTGGCCTTCAAACTTTCTGTTAAGCTCCTCTACCAATCCTACTTTGCATGGTTTCCTTTCACCTGATCTTTTAACATTTTTAAGAGAAAATTTTCAGCAGAGCATCTTGTTTCTTTCTAGACACAAAGAAA